CTCTCTCTCTCTCTCTCTCTCTCTCTCTCTCTCTCTCTCTCTCTCTCTCTCTCTCTCTCTCTCACGCACACACACACACACGCACACACACACACATATGCAAGTCCCACTTCATCCTTCTCATCCCCGCCGCCATGATTCCGGACACAAGGCGACAAAACATGACCATGTCTGGCGAAAACGACGGCGACGTCGGAGGGAGAGGGAGGCGGGAGAGAGAGGGGAATTCTCTGCATGCAATGCAGAGCGAAGGCCGGCACGAGGAAGGGAAAGAAAGCGCAAGCGGAAACAGGAACAGACGGAAGGTTGCAAGGGAGGAAGGCGAGCAGAAGTGGAGGAGAGAGAGAGAGAGAGAGAGAGAGAGAGAGAGAGAGAGAGAGAGAGAGAGAGAGAGAGAGAACATCTGAGAAGCTCCAGCTATACTTATACCGCGAATGTGAAGATGACAACCTTCAAGATGATTAACTACCATCCCCACCCCACCAGAAGGCAACGTCGTTATCACCGCACAAAGGCTGACAGTTGCCCCAACCACAGCTATAACGGCCATCGACACACCACTCACGGTGTGTGAAAAAGACAAAAGCTATGGCGGGTGCATCTTTCTGCGTTTCGTGGAAGATACATGCACCATTTTTTGCACATTCTGGAAGTGTGGGTACTACAGATTGTCCCAATGACTCGGCCAAAGACAGGATTTGCATCATATTCGATTCTTACTACCTTACCCGTCAACGAAGTGTGGGTAGTCATCGTAGCCTTGGCGTGTATTCACGCCTCAGCGACAACTGGCACCCTCCGACGTAAGCGCGACTAGAAGCTTTGGCTATGGACTCCACCCCTCCGACGTAAGCGCGACTAGAAGCTTTTTTGGCTATGGACTCCGCCCCTCTGACGTAAGGGCGACTATTTTTCGGCTATGGACTCCAACGGCGAATACAGCAGCACTCCCAAAACAAGCAACTCACTCTTCTCGCCTTACTTCACGCCACTACATTTAAACCCTCAGCTGTCGACCGTTCGAAATAGACCCAACGAACGACCTTAGCTAAGGGCCTCGCTGCACTACTCTCGAAATGTGCAAAACGAGAGTGAATTTTCCGCTAGAACATGGAAAGGTACACGGCCATGATTTTTGTCGTTTGTGCATTTCAAGAGTAGTGCAGCGAGGCCCTAACCGTTTAAATGCGGCAGCAGAGAACTCTCGCGGGAAAGGAAGGGAGCGATGGCCAGGCACGGTACGCGCCTCGCTGCACTACACTCGAAATGTGCAAAACGAGAGTGAATCTTCCGCTAGAATATGGAAAGATGCACGGCCATGATTTTTTTTTAATTTTGCGCATGTCGAGAGTCGTGCAGCGAGCCCCTTCATCTCGAGTCTACTCACTCTAGGGGCCTCGCCACACCACTCTCGAAATGTGAAAAAGACAAAAATGTGGCGGGCGCATCTGGCCATGTTCTATGGTCACGTTCATTCCCATTTTGCAAATTTCGAGTGGTGTGGCCATGCCCTAGGACTCTAGTGGACGTATGCGACCGNGCATCTGGCCATGTTCTATGGTCACGTTCATTCCCATTTTGCAAATTTCGAGTGGTGTGGCCATGCCCTAGGACTCTAGTGGACGTATGCGACCGCAACAACAACCAGAAACATATCAACAGTCGTGATGTGACCGCAGTTCGGGCCTCGCCACACGGCACACAAAACGGAAACGAAAATGGTGCATCAAATCCATGAACCTGGACTTTTCCTGCCAGAAGATGCACTCGTTTCGTTTCGTGTACCGTGCGGCCACACAAAACGGAAACGAAAATGGTGCATCAAATCCATGAACCTGGACTTTTCCTGTCAGAAGATGCACTCGTTTCGTTTCGTGTACCGTGCGGCGACGCCCCTCCCGTGCGTGGCGCGATTCGCGCTTTCGGCGACAGGTTGCATGAGCGCGCGCTTTCCGTTTCTCCCCATAGATTGTCGAAAAAGATCGACGGCCAGAAACGAAAAACACGCGCAGGTTCAAGGAACGTGCACGTCTGATAGCGCCAAGGTTCCAAAAGAGCGCAGGAACGCACCCAGCGGCGGGAAGAGTGGAAGCCAACAAAAAGGCGGGAAAGGCGGGGCATGGTTGATCTGCGACGGGAAATCTGCGCCAGCCACTCGCGGTCTGCGACAAGTTTGACGGGAGATGTACGACGGTTACTCGATCCTAAATTCTCAATCGTACGGCAAGCAACGAGCCAAAGAGCAAGCCTTTTTTTTTTTCAAACGACCACTACCTTTCCGCGAAGTCCATCGAGTAGGCTACTCGTCAGGAGTCTGCTTTTCTTCGGGAAAGGCGGGGCATGGTCA